TGGAGGGGATTTGCCCTCATCTAAGAGATTTGTGCGGCCCTCTTTGTATTTCAATCTTGGTTCTGCTGTTTACTAGCTGGGTGGGGTAAGTGACTTATTCCCTTTCTGCCTCTCCCTCATCTATACTGACCTGTACTTTGATACATCTGTATTTGAGGATGGTTTTTCTATTCTTGTTTGACAAACTTAGCAGCTTAAACCAGTACCCATTTATTTATTTATTTATTTATTTATTTATTTATTTATTTTTGAGACGGAGTTTCACTCATGTTACCCAGGCTAGAGTGCAATGGCGCGATCTCGACTCACCGCAACCTCCGCCTCCTGGGTTCTGGCAATTCTCCTGCCTCAGCCTCCTGAGTAGCCGGGATTACAGGCATGCACCACCATGCCCAGCTAATTTTTTGTATTTTTTAGTAGAGACGGGGTTTCACCATGTTGACCAGGATGGTCTCGATCTCTTGACCTCGTGATCCACCCGCCTCGGCCTCCCAAAGTGCTGGGATTACAGGCTTGAGCCACCGCGCCCGGCCCAGTACCCATTTATTATCTCATCGTTATGTAGTCTGAAGTTCAGGTAGGCCCAGCTGCACATCACAAGGCTGAACTCAAGGTGTTGGCAGCTTTGCTTTTACCTGGAAGCTCTAGGGAAGAAGCTGCTTCAAGGCTAGGTTGCTGGCAGAATCGAGTTCCTTGGAGTTGTAGAACCAAGGTCTCTGTTTCCTTGCTGGCTGTCAGCTGGGGACTACTCTGTAATTTAAGGTCTACTAACTTAGGACTCTAATTGTATCTGCAGAATGCCTTCATAGCCGTACCTAGATGAGTATTTCACTGAACAACCAGGGGACAGGAATCTTGGGTGGCTATCTTTAGAATTCTGCCTACCACTGAGGATGAAATGAGGAAATATATGGAGAGCCCTTAGAGCAAGATGTGTCATACAGCAAGTGCTGTACAAGCATTACTGAGGATTCACCACCACAAACTTGGCTTTGAAGCTGGCCACTGTGGGCTGCATGAGAATGGTGTTTCTATAAAACATGGGAATTGCCGGTCAGGCACAGTAACTCATGCCTGCAATCCTAGCACTTTGGGAGGCTGACATGGGAGGATTGCTTGAGCCTAGGAGTTGAAGACCAGCCTAGCCAACACAGCAAGACCTCATCTCTACACACACACACACACACACACACACACACACACACACACTCTCTCTCTCTCTCTCTCTCTCTCTCTCTCTCTCTCTCTCTGTCTGTCTCTCTCTCTCTTAGCTGGGCATGGTGGCATGTATCTGTAGTCCCAGCTACTAAGGAGGCTAAGGTGGGGGGATTGCATCAGCCCAGGTTGAGGCCACAGTGAGCCATGATCATGCCATTGCATTGCATTGCAGCTGCTTGGGAGGCTGAGGCAGGAAGATCATGTGAACCCAGGAGTTTGAAGTCGCAGTGAGCTGTGATCATGCCACTGCATTCTAGCCTGGGTAACAGAGCAAGACTCTGTATCTAAAAAAATAAAAACAAAAATAAATAAAACATGGGAATTGGCAGTGTAGTACGTGTGCTGAGTTACACAAATGTTTTCCTGGGCATTGTGAAACTATATAATTTTTGTTAGGGCCAGGTATCGTGGCTTACACCTGTACTCTCAGCACTTTGGAGGCTGAGGTGGGAGGACTGCCTGAGGCCAGGAATTCTAGCCTGGGCAACATAGTGAGACCCCATCTCTACAAAATCAGAAAATTAGCTGGGTGTGTTGGTGTATACTTGCAGTCCTAGCTGCTCAGGAGGCTGTGGTGGGAGGATTGCTTGAGCCAGGAGTTTGAGGTTGACCTTGTCTCTGAAAAATAAAAAGATTCTGTTGTGTTGTAAATGTTGAGATTTCATCTTTGTTTTTCCACAGTGGATTACTAAGAAGGCCAGTTTTGACTCTCCATTGGAGGCTGCTATGGTGTTTCCTCACCTGCAGCAGCCTAGCTTTCTACGGGTAAATATCAGCTGCCTGCATGAGTGTCAGTGTGGCCACAGTTGTGTAGCTGAGGGACTTGAATGTTGTTTCTGCTGACTTAAAGCTTTCTAGTGGTGTTTTTTTAGGGTCATGTGTTGGAAATAACACCAGATTCAGGGTTAGACTTTTTCAGCTTGACTTTGCCTCCTTATTCCTGAGATCTTGGATTTACTCAGCCTCTGAGCTCTGGTTTTCTCATACAAGACAAGTTCATTGAAATGTTATTTTCCCTCCTTCCCAAGGGTATGAGGATGAGGAGAAAGTGAGAAGGATGTATTTCAGCATGTTCATGACCAGGCTGGGCATGGTGGCTCACACCTGTAATCCCAGCACTTTGGGAGGCTGAGGCAGGTGGATCATGAGGTCAGGAGATCGAGGCAATCCTGACCAACATGGTGAAACCCTGTCTCTACTAAAAATACAAAATTAGCTGGGTGTGGTGGCGCATGCCTGTAATCCTAGTTACTTGGGAGGCTGAGGCAGGAGAACTGCTTGAACCCAGGAGGCGGAGGTTGTGGTGAGCTGAGATCGCGCCATCGCACTCCAGCCTGGGCAACAAGAGTGAAACCCCATCTCAGAAAAAAAAAAAAATGTTCATGACCTGTACATCCTTATGCAGATATGAAGCTATTCTAGTAATTATAACTATCATCAGTGAAAAATGGAGAGGCACTGCTGTGCTGGGGACAGCTAGGCTTGCACTTTAAGGATTAAACATGATGCTGAGAACTGAGTGCAGTGACTTGTACCTGTAGTTCCAGCTACTCAGGCGACTGAGGTAAGAGGGTCGCTTGCACCCAGGAGTTTGAGACCAGTCTGAGCGACATAGTGAGACCCTGTAAAATAGTAAAAAAAAAAAATTAGCCAGGCATGATGGCACATGCCTATTGTCCAAGCTGCTTGGACAGCTGAGGCAGGAAGATCACTTGAGCCCAGGAAGTTCAGGTTGCAGTGAGCCATGATGGAGCCACTGCACTTCAGCCTGGGCCACAGAGCAATACGCTGTCTCAAAACAAAAACAAAACCAAAACAAAGCAATTTTTCTCTCTCACTCTTTCATTTTCCTTCAGTCATCCCTGCCTTGGTGTGCCTCTTCCTAACTGTACTCTGGAAAGCAAGGCTGTAGCTGCAGAGCTGTGTTTGGCCTGGGCCCTGCTCATCTCCCAGATCCCCAACCCTGACACAGTTCAAGCTACAGATAGACAGGCAGTCACAGTATGCCATGAATGCAATTTGGCATTCCTTTTCTTTTTTTCTTGAGACAGAGTCTCTATCACTCAGGCTGGAGTGTGGTGGCTTAATCTTGGGTCACTGCCACCTCCGCCTCCCAAGTTCAAGCCAATGTCCTGCCTCAGCCTCCCGAGTAGCTGGAATCACAGGCATGTGCTACCACACCAGCTAATTTTTGTATTTTTTTTTTTTTTTTAGTAGAGACAGGGTTTCACTTTGTTGGTCAGGCTGGTCTTGAACTTCTGACTTCAGGTGATCTCGCTGACTCAGCCTCCCAAAGTGCTAGGATTACAGGTGTGAGCCACTGAGTCCAGCCCTGGCTTTACTTCTAAAAGTCTTTTTCTTTCTTCTCACTAAACAACTTTACATCATCAAATAACCTGTTTACCACTTAGAGATCTTTTATTTTATACAGGACTCAGTTTTTTCCTATTTCTCCTTTAAGTAAAACCTTTCAGCCAGGCATGGTGACTCCTGCCTATAATCCCAGCGCTTTGGGAGGCCGAGGTGGGCCAATCACCTGAGGTTGGGGTTTTGAAACTAGCCTGACCAACATGGAGAAACCCCGTCCCTACTAAAAATACAAAATTAGTTGGGCGTGATGGCACATGCCTGTAATCGCAGCTCCTCTGGAGGCTGAGGCAGGAGAATTGCTTGAACCTGCGAGGCGGAGGTTGTGGTGAGCCGAGATTGCACCATTGCACTCCAGCCTGGGCATCAAGAGCTTAAACTCCGTCTCAAAAACAAAACAAAACAAAACAAAAAAAGCGTCCCTGTTGGTGGCAATCAAAGAGTTGTTGCTTGGGTATGAGGGGAGGGTCTGGAAAGGAGGGATTCTAAAAAGAGACAAGAGAGAACTTTCTAGGGGGCAGAAATACTCTATAATGACTGTGGTGCTGGTTACATAGGTTTAGAGGTTTGTTAAAACTTAAACTGTACACTTAGATCTGTGCATTTTGTATGTAATTATGCTTTCTTTCTTCTTTTTTTTTTTTTAAGTTAAAAAGCTCTCTGTCCCATCCCAGCCCATAGTAAATCAAACTTGGCCATGAGGGCTGGATCCAGGGTCTGTACTGAGATATATCTGGAGCCCCAGTCACCCTGGGAGAGGCCTTGGAGGAGCTGTTCTCCCTCCACTTCCCCCATCCCTCTCATGAGACTCACTCCCAGGGATGGTGCTGAAAGAGGTGGGGCTGTCAAAGTACTGTTTTGCTTTCTTTCATGTCTGGACCCTGGAAAACATACATCCTGCACAGAAAATGCCATCTCACACTTTGTAGCACATTGTAGTCATGTCCAGTAGGGTTGCTCCAGGCAGAGCACACCTGCTGCTATGATGAGACACAGGGCGTTTTATTGTTTGATTTTTCCTACTAACCAACATGCTGAGTTCCCTAGCCAAGGAGAGCTTAGATCAAACCTCAGCATAGGTGCCAATACACTTCATAGTTTAAGACGCAAAGCTCATGTAACAAATCTGCACACCATGTACTTGTACCCTAGAACTTAAAATAAAAGTTAAGAAAAAAATACAGATAGATTTTTTTTAAAGAGTTTGTTTCAAAATTCAAATATGAATCAGCCATGTCTATTGCCAATAATACTGTCTGTGTATGTTTGCCTGTATAAATAATACTCTGATTTTGTTCAAAAAAGAAGCAAGAAAGTTATTCTGGTGACTCCCTGTCAAACCACCAGGCGGTCCTGCAGCCGCTGAAGGAGCCTGACCTCTCCCTTGGCCTTGGCAGTATGGCCCTATGAGGCCAAGGCAAGTCTGTAGAGAGGGCACTGGAAGTAGAGTCTTGTAAGCAAAGGCTGCACCATGCCACGGGCCTCTCCAGCTGTATACGGCCTGCCCTCCTCCCCGATGCAAAGCCAGGCACACTCAACCACACAAGTATCGAGGGCGAGCAAGCTACAAATCTTGAGAATGGTAGTTATTTAACCCTCCTTGCATTTTTTAGAAAAGACCAAGAAGATGCCAAAATTCAGTTAATATGTAGATTTTTAAAAACTACATCTATAAGAAACTTTTTGTCCCCATGATATTCAGGGTAATCACCAGTCACAAGCTTTTATTTATTTATTTATTTGCTTTTCTTTATTCTGTCTTTCAGATTTCCTCTATCAAGAGGTCTCCAGCCTGGGGCAGTGGCATGTGCCTGTAGTCTCAGCTCCTCAGGAGGCTGAGGCAGGAAGATCCCTTGAGTCAAAGAGTTCAAGGCCAGCCTGGGCAACACGGTGAGACCCTGTCTCAAAAAAGAAAAAAAAAAATAAGAAAAAACAAACTTTTCAAATGATATCAATTACCTCATCCCCAAATCAATGTAAAAGTCCATAAAAAGGTGAAATGGGCGGGTGTCGTGGTTCATGCCTGTAATCCTAGCACTTTGGGAGGCAGAGGCAGGCAGATCACTTGAGGTCAAGAGTTTGAGAGCAGTCTG